TCTCTCTCTCTCTCTCTCTCTCTCTCTGTCTGTCTCTCTCTCTGTCTATCCATCTGTCTGTCGCCTATCCGTACCACCTCGTCTTCTCTGTCTGCCTGTCCCTCTTCGGGAAACCAGGCGAAAGTGAAAACGGCCAAGCGCCTCCTGGATGCTTCGAGGGTGGAGTCAGCAAGGCTGTCGAGGCTGGTCGAGGTCAAATCCCGCAAGCTGCATGCGGCGCGGAAAAAGGTGATAACATTTGAAAAAAAAGTCACAATTGCGCCAACGGTGACAGTCTACGGTATACTTCAGGGTTCTGTTTTGTTAACGGCGGCATCGTTTTGTTTCCCTTGTATGAGCTCGCTTTCTTTTTTTATACTCTTTGGACTGTGGCGCAAGGCGAGATGGCTAGTTCGTTTGTTGAGACAACGACGTCCATGCGGATCTCTGTCGTGCCTCCCACCCGGTCATCCCCGCACCAAGGGCACCGATGCTTTTACCACGTTCACGAGGAAACAAGCTCCCCTCCGCCCCTCCACACAGACGGCCGACTCCACACACCCCCATGCCGCCACCACACCCCCTCGTTTCTCCCTTTCGGAAAACATCTTCGCGCGAATTACGGTTGCTTTACACACACACGCAGGCTGCTCGGGTGCCCGTGCTTGCTGCAGAGGTGGGCCGACTGCGTGAGGTCACGGGCAACACCGAGAGCGCCCTCGGGAAGGAGGGAAAGAGGGCCGAGGAGGAGCAACGACGGTCGGAAGCGTGGATAGCTCGAGTCGACAAGCTATCACTGCAGGCGAGACTAGGCGGGCGGGCGACGGGGGTGGGGTGCTCGTTCTGTTCTCGTTGGTTAACGCTTCGCGCGCGACAGCATTTATTCGCAGGCAGCGTTCCACTTGAATCGGAGAAAGGAGGGTACTGTTTGGCGACGGCAATGAAGTCATCCACGACAGCAGCGTCAGGACAACGCCCGCTCCGACAAGAAGTTTCCCCTCGTCGACCGCGACGAAAAACACACAACAGTGACATCGAAAGATTATCGATAGAACCATCGACGACGACAACAACAACACCAACAACCAAATAGCGACACCACTGCCACCACTACCACCACTAGCAACAACAACAACAACAACAACAACAACAACAACAACAACAACAACAACAACAACAACAACAACAACAACAACAACAACAACAACAACAACAACAACTACAACAACGACTGCACAACCAAAAACACCCTGTGCCCCCCGCTATACTCTCTGTGCGACATCGTACCCCGAACACCAGGCCGTACAAAGCGCGGAACACTGCCGGACCCTTTCCGCCGAGAACCACCAACTGAAGGAAGAGATCAAGCGCGTGAGGGAGCACCTGGAGGAGGCCAAGAGGCAGTGTTCGGCGGCCGGCGCAACATCAAACGCTCTCCGACTGAAGACCATCGAGGTCGAGCTTCTCTCGGAGGAATTGGGCGCGGTGAGGGCCGACTGTAGCCGGCTGGTGCGACTCGTCAGGTGTGAACGATGTTTTTGACGTGCGCTTGCCTATGTTTTCGCTATCCACGAACTGTTGGTACGATCTCCTTAAGTTGGTCTGCGTTCGGTTACGCAGATGGTTTATGCGATACCTTCAAGCACCTTTTCCTTTCGACTGTTTGTGTACCGTAGTCTCCCATCGCGCAAAGTCTGCACGCTACATCCCCTCGTCTCGTTGCCCTAGCCTCCAAGCTAGGACTGCTCCTGTTGCTCCCTATATTGTTGCGGCTTTCGACGAATACACAGTTCGACGAAGGAGTACGCGGAGTTCCGTCGGGTGTGGGACGACAGCGGGGGTCTCACCCGTCCCTACAACGGGGGCGCCAAAAGCTCCAACTTTGCCGATAAGAACGGGGTTAGCATCAGCCACGGGGTCATCATAAAGGCCACCGCTTCACAAGAAGAAGAAACGACGAAGTCAGCGGTCTCTTTCAGCAAAGCGGCCCCCTTTAGCGGAGGCATGCCGCACACGACGACCACGACGGAGGAGCCCGCAGCGGCCGAAAGAGGCACGCCGATCACCCGTTCTTCGGATCCCTGGGAGCAGGCGATGCGGTCGGAGTGGTCCAGCCCTTCCGAGAAGCTCATCGGCGCTGCTACTGCAGCCGCAACTCCTCCTCCTCCTCCTCCGCCGCCGCCGCCGCCACCGCCGCCGCAGTCACGCCCCCTCTCTTCAGCGTCAACCCAGGTCGCGCCAACGGCGGGTGGCGGCGCCGCGTCGTCGGCAAAAGAGCGGACTCTAGCTGGGCGAGGGTCGAGACCAGAAGAGGCTCCAGGGCAGCCGACAGAATCACCACCACCAACAAAGAAAAAAGTATCGTTTTCCGGGCAGACGGTGGCGCCGCCGGTGGCGACTGGTGGCGGGAGAGAGGCGCACCACGGAGTGGGGAAAGGGCTTGGAGGTTCTTCGATGTCGGGGACAGGGCTCGGGACGACGACGCCGGCGGTGGGGGTCGGTGTCGTCAGTGTTCGCCGCGGTGAAGACGGTGACGGCGGGGTGGAGGTCGTGCGATGGGGGCGGGTTGATTTGCTGTCGGTCTTGTATCCGCCACGACCTACTACATCTCCTTCGGGCGCAGGTGGGGATTGAAATGAGAAACAGTCAGCACGCTCATAAAACCTCGTGCGGCCCTGCCAGCTGTCGGTGCTGCTGCCGCTACATCGGCCGTGGTATCAGAGTGCGATTCAGTTTCTACAGAATTTGTTGAACGTCCGACAACTCAGTGGTGTGCCCTGCAAGTGCTCCGCGTGAACAGCTTCAACATTTCAGGGTACACGTCAGCAAGGAAGCAAGAATACTCGCCACACAAAAAGCGGTCTACAGACAGCCGGGATCAATGGATCGAGATGACCAACCAGTGCAAAGTAGAAAACGAGTAAACACCCTTTTCTACGATGCAGAAGCACTGTTGCCCGCCCCTCCTCCACCAACAATGTGACAGCACGCACCAACAAACGGTTGTCGACGCACGCAGGCACATCGCCTTCGGGTACGAACCCTGACCCCAACACAGAGACGTCCATGTGGGTTCCTCGAGACGCGGCGGGACTGTGCAGGCGATTCGTTCAAGATTTGGACGGCTACAGGTAGGCATGCGCACGCGCGCACGCACGCGTGTGAGGGGCGACGAGATGCTTGTGGCGTAAACATTTACCCGAGCCTACACCGAGCCTCGAGAGTCTATTGTGCAGAACAGGTGGGAAATACATACTGCGATCGGCGACGAAGGTCAGAATGACGAAAGCGTTGGCGCCACGGTGATGGTTTCGACCCCTCGTCCAGAAAAAGAATCTGAAGAGTGTCCCTTTCTGGTGGGCTCACGCTGAGCAATGTCATACCAGAGGTTGGTAGACTGACGTAGAGTTCCACGGACAACACCAGGAGGGCGGAAAGGTACCGCGTGGTACCGTGCGGTACCGCGCTGCTTTCGAACAATCGCTTGCTCTTCGACAGTGTGTTCCTCCTCAGCACCCTTGTCGACGAAGAATCCACCCGCTCGCTGCCGAGAGGTCGTCATCCCCACCCGTTGACATTCTTCCACCAAACGCAATACATCAGACCCACGGTTTCCCGCCGCCCTTTCATTCCCTTCTCCGAACACACAACGCGCGCAGCATCCTGTTTCCCCATTCCTCGCTTGTTTGGGACTCGGCAGTGGGATACCGTTGGATGCCGAACAGCACCGTCTGCTCTGGGGTTTGCTGCTCGGGCTGAACGCATGTTGGAGGCTGAGGTACACGCGAAGGCGTCGGCCAACGTATGCCTTGGAGGCGCGCTGTGGCGAACTACCTCTCCAGAGGATAAGAGGATGCGCGTTGTGTCTATTTCGTTTTTAGCTTTTGTCCGCTGTTCAAAATCGTGTTCGGGTTGATACGGCCGAAGAAACGGATGGTATGTTTTGTGGGGGTTTGTGAATCCACGGGCGTGAGACACACGGTGTGGCGCGTCACAGCGCTTGTTTTGTGTCATGTGTGTATTTACATCGCAGTATTCCGGTAGTGTGCTCGATGTTCCGTGATTGATTATGTTTGGTGCTCTCGAGAGTAACTGCCGTCGAGATTCCCGCAAGCCTGTTCCACCATGTAGCACCCACCTACCAAACAATATTCGAATCCCTCATTATTAATCTTGATGTTGTTGCCTTGACTGAAGGGGACAACAACATGTGTGTGGCATCTATGTATGTAGGCATGAACAAACATGACGACCCATACTTCCCCCCACATGGCCTACAGCAATGCTTGACCCAAGCGGCACGAACCAGTCGTCTGTTCACTCATCACATCTTGCGTGCCTTGTCGGTTGCCGGTTGTACGGTTCCGCGTGGTTTGGTGCGGCGCGGCGGGCATGGCAGCGAGAGAAGGCATGTCGAGAGACTGAGGACGAGGTATCGCGCCGAGCTGGCGGCGGCTCACAGACGGTTACACATGCGCAAGCCCTTGGAGGAAGTCGTCGGCGAACGGGCGGCAGAACGCCGTCGGTCATCACAACCACTCACCACCTACTCCAACTTGGCTGCCGCCGGTGCTCTCGCAGCGAAGACCGCGGCCGGCGGCCACGGCCGGGCGCTGACACAGTGGGGTACGGATGGCAGGAGGATACGCAACGGGGGCGAAGAAAGCGGGCGGAGGAGCGGCACCGCTTGCGCGACTGAGTACAGCCGAAGCTGCATGAGCTCTATCAACACCAGTAGCGGCAGACCGCAGCCGGACAAGGAGGTGGGGACGAGGCTGACAAGGACGAAGGGCCGCGGATGCAGAAGGGCGGTGGTCGCCAAGTGTCAACGGAAAAGTAAAGTTGGTGGTGGCGACGGCATGGCATCGAGCGCCACATTGAGCGCATCGAACACATCCGCTGGTGCCGAAGCGATTGATAATGTCCTTCGTGCTGCTGCTCCCGTGGGGTCGGCAGGGAGAGAGCGGTATGCGTCGGACGGCGCTGCCGCTACCGCCGCCGTCGCTGCCGCCGCCACAGTTGCCGAGGCCGATGCGGTTGCTAATAGGAGCTACGGGACCGAGTGTGCGTGGAGAACTTCTTCCGCAGACAACGGTGGTAGTAGTCATCTAGCCCGGTACAGGGATTTCTTTGACCAATACGAGGACGCGCTGCTTGCGGGAGACCGTCCGCACAGAGACATCGAGGAGACGGTGACGACTCGCCAGCACGCACGCACGACGTCGGCAGAAAGAAAAGAATAGCGCCACAGGGACGAGACTACGGCTAGCAGCGGGGCGACATCCTCGGTGTCGCCGCGCGAGGCGAGTGCAGGAAGTGAGAGACGAAGAGGAGGAGACGAGCGACAACAACAAGGAGCGGGAAGGCGGGGGGCAGAGGGCGGCCGGGCGAGACCTATTGAGTAGCAGCAGCGGACTTCGTCTGGCTTCAGTCGACGAGAGGCGCCGCCACCGTCGACGCTAATAGCGCCGTTTTACACTCGAACCCGCCTAGTCAACGCCTCTCTTCTTCCCCCTGCCCCCCCAACATCGACCCGTAGCGTGGGCAGAGGCATGGCCCAGCTTTCGTATAGTGCATGGTAGGAGCTTTCTCCGCGGTCGCGAAAGATGGTGGTGTGTATTTGAGCCCAACAGAAGGTCAAGCGCGGAACATGGACCTTGTTCTGTGTTGTCAAAACCAAACGCCGAAAGTTCTAGGCGTAGCGGGGTGTTTTCCCACGAGGGAACCCCTCTGCGGTGGGTGCCTTCATTCTATACGCAGCAAACGTATGCCACATGCCTCTCTCTACCCTTTGTCCAGTAACAGATCCGAGCATATAATCCCGCTTGCGTCCACCAGTCAGCCAGTGTGGCTTAAACAAACAGGGCTTTTCATGACGATAAGGCAGTCATAATTGCTGCATGTGCAGCCCCACTTCGGCCAGCGGGTACTCGCTAAAACTACACGACGCGTTCATGACGCCTGCTCAACCCGGGGCCTCAGCCAGGTCGATGCCCCATGAGGAATATCCCTTGACCACACACGGGCGAAGTATGATACATACCCTTGTCTTTCGAGGTTGGGACATTGGATGCACAATCATAACTGCCCAGGAGGCAACTTCTCGTGTTCACACGGATTGATGAATTTACCGCTTCTGTTGAGCCTATGCGACAGAGTACTACAGAAAAATGGTAAAAGACGGCGTTCATTTCACAAACACACACCAGGCATCAGTCAACCCTCAATCTGCCTGAGTCACCCTTCCCCTTCGCAAAGCCCAACCCAGTTTCGATTCACACCACTACACGCCACCGGCAAGGTGGCGTCACTCAAAATCATCGCGGTGAAAGAAAAAAGCGACGAAAAAGAAGATTGGTTCGTTCGTCAGGGCAAACATCATCACACCCTCCTCTGGGAAGAGCGATTCACACCAACGCAGGCAATGCGTCAGAGAGGCAGCAAGGGTGAGCCGAGCTCTTGGCCCGAGCACCTCCAAGGAAAAACCAACGGGTGCCACTTCTTCGAGCACAATCTCTCGCGCAGGTTCTCGAGTTTCCCTGGCAGGGCAAACAAACACTATGGGCGGCTGATGGCCGTCTTGCGCTGCTGTGACAGCAGAGGGTCGCTACGACAGAAACGAAAGATCGGTCGACAGAAACGCGAGGTGACACAGCAGCAGTAGGGCAGACAAAAGGAAGGCGAGGACCAAACCCGCCCCCGTCAGAATGCAATCGTCCTTGATTTACCAAGGTGAAATGACGGCTAACACTCCCGATGACTGAACACCGCGATGTATACAAGACGTTCAAAACCACTTCGGGACGCTGCGCACCCCTTCTTCGATGCCCCTTCTTTCCGTTCAGGCTGGCTGCGACCGCCCCGCGATTGGAACCATGCTGGCAGCCCTCTGCTCTCCGTCCTCCCTGCGCCGTCGTTTGCCTTTTTCCAGCTCTCCAGCCTCATCTCTCTCCCTCAGAGGTCGCAACAACCAACGAGCAAGATCAAGCATCTCCATTTACTCTACAGCTCCTCGGAGGCGCCTTGCTTCTGTCACTGCCTGTCCTGCTAGCGCGAGGAAGGGACAACGCGGCGGCGACGGGCGAGACATTGTTCTCTTGAGGATGGGCCCAATCAAAAACTCGAAGGACTTCCAACAACGCCGTCGACTATGGTAAAAAGTATGTCAAACTGGCCGTCTTGTGACTGTAAGTTAGTATGTTATACAACGCAAGTTGGTTCATGTCCCGATGATGGCTAAAAGCAGAGCATCTTCATCGGTGGATGAATCACGCCACGTAGACTAACTAGCCAGGCACAGATGGTTCGTAAAAGGGGTGTGGCTGCGAATAGTGACAACGTCACCGGCTCTTTCGACAGATACCTCGACAGCAGCTTCACGTTTACAGCACCCGAAATGGTGCAGAATCCCCGATAAAAACACCTGTACACTCAAGCACCGCGTCGTGACCATCTTCGGGAATTTCCCTCTGCACAGCACCCACAAACTTGGGGCCAACACACAACCACGCCGGGTGTCTCGCCGAGACAAGCAATACACAGCAACCAGGACCCATGCAAAAAGACAGCACGACACTTTGGCAGCGCTAATGGCTCCCCGCTACAGCACAAACAGGCGAAAAAACGGAAGGCAGACAGGACAAACCTCCACCCTGACCTCCCAAAAACATTCCGCCGAACGCTTCATACCATACTTCACGCGTCGCAGCACCAACCTGCTGTTGCATGTTGTCGCGCCTTCCGCCCGGCGGTGGCGGGGGGGGTGGCCCGCGTCCCATCCCGGCCCCCCCGCCTTGCTGCTGCTGAGAGAACCCCCTCGGCGGCCCACCTCCCATGCCCTGCTGCTGATGCGGCGGCGGCGGCGGCATCATTCCGGAGCCGCCGCCGCCGCCGCCGCCGCCCATGCCCTGGTGACCAGGCCCCGCATCCCTTCCGCCGCCACCTCCGCCTCTTCCGCCGCCACCGCGCCCCCCCATACCCATGCCGGGCCCGCGGGGGGGAGCGCCGCCCAGCATCTGCTGCTGCATGTTTGGCCGGTTGAGGGACGGCGGACCCATTTGCTGCTGCAGCGAGCCGCCGCGCCCTCCGTCGCTTCTTTGAGACATCGGCGGGGGCGGCGGGGGCGGAGACCCCCGCCCGGGGGGAGGCGGCGGCGGCGGCGGCCCATCCCTTCCGACCGGCCCTGAGGAGAGGATGCAGGACGGGGAACGGTGGTGGTGAAGAAAAAAAAAAAAATGGAACACTACGAATAAAAGCAGCTCGGTCGATACCAAAACGCATGTGTGCTGAAACACCAACCAAACACAGACTACAGAGCAAGACACACCAATGCAAACAGAGAACAATACCGTATATGACACAAGATAACACACTCCCTTGACCAATTTTGGAAGCTCGATTTCTCAACTGCAGGAACAGTCACAGCGCCGAAAACCGCGGCGTTGAAACCGTCTAGTCGAGAGCTTTTCGAAAATGTATCGTTTCGTTTATGCATCCTCTTCGTCGTGGAGTATTCGAGCTTTGAAAATCGGTCCAGGGGGTGTGTTATCTTGTGTCATATACGGTAGGTTTCCACGACTCAAACTGCGATGCCTTGCGAACGGGATTGTTAACATAGTTTGTTTACGCTGGGATAGTGCTGCCTCGCACGAGGAGGAGAATGGGGGGAGGGGGTACAAAAAACACCTGGTCGGGTCGAGCGGTTTGTCGTGTGCGCGTCATCCGCTGCGAAGCCGCGTCGTTGTACTTGCTGTCGGATAACGACCACACACTATTGATGACTGGCGGGGACAGTTTCACGCGTCCATATGGCAATCCAATAGAAACAACACACATCGTGGACGGCAAAAACGGGGCCGAAACGCCTCGCGGCGGGCATGCCACCGGCGTTTTGGATTCAAGGAGAAGGTGCTGCCGCTCTCTGATCCGTCCACCAAACTCCCAGGACGAGGAAGACAACCGCAAGGACAGAAAACAACGAACAAACTCAACGGCTGCCAAAAACAACACGAGGAGCTTCGCTCGCTATCAAAAGCCGCGGGGAGGTGCATGTCGCCCACCTCCTGCTCCTCCCATCTCTCGCTGTGGCGGCGGCGGCGGCGGCGGCGGCGCTCGCCCCCCTCCCCCTCCCCCCATCTGCGGCCCGTTTCCCTCCCGGCGGTCCGGCCGCTCCCCAGCAGGAGGAGCCCCACCGTTTGCCATGGGGGGCGGGGGGGGAGCGCCGTGGCCGGCGCCGGCCCCGTTGTTGCTACCCGCCGAGGGCGGCGGCGGCGGCGGTGGCGCTGACGCGGGGGAGGGCGATGCGGGGGGTGGCGGTGGCGGCTGCTGGCTCGGCGGGAGCGGGGGCGGGCGACCCATGTCTAGGTTCGGGGGCGGCGGGGGCATGCCCATCATCTGCTGGGGCGGCGGCGGCGGCGGCGGGCCTCCGTACATGCTGTAGCCTCCCCCTCCTCGCTGTGCGATGTTGACAGACGGTCCATGACATGCACATCGACAGGGCGAGTAACGTCGCACCCATTTGGAAAAGCACAGAGCGAGCAAGGGTACCAAAAAAATGTGAGAGAGCTTTACTGACGAGACTACGGCAGCATAAGCGGTGTACGGTACCAATCAACATCACAACGAGGACAGGCAGCAGCAGCAGCAGCAGCAGCAGCAGCGATCACTCCACCAAAAAAACGGGGCAAGTGAGCAAAATCACCATCCAGCAGAAAATGCACAAAAAAAAAAAAACGGTTCGGAATAACATGGGGCGAAGAGTTCCGAATTCTCAAATGTTCCTTTCTTGTCCTCTGAAAAAACACCAAGACAGCGCACTGATACAAGCTCCCACGGCCTTGCACTTGCACCAGACTTGCCAAAAAAAACACACACCCCGCCCCCTGCCACCACCATACAGTACACACCTGCATCCCCATCGGCATGCCCATGTTAGGCCCCATCCCGCCGTGAGGCATCATGTGCTGCGGGGCCATGTGCTGCGGGTAACCCCTTCCGTACCCAGGGGGCGGTGGCGGCGGCATCCCCCGGGGCATCCCTCCCCCCCCCCGCGGCGGCTGCGGCGGGCCCCCCGAAGAGGTCATGAAAGCGGGCATCGATCCGGGGGGCAGGGGAGGCATTCCGGGAGACGGGGGAGGCGGCGGTGGCATCCCCGGGGGAAGGGGCGGCAGCGGCGGCATGGAACCCTTTCATCGTTGTGATTGGAGAGAGGGAGAGCGAGAGGGAGATGGCGAGAGAGAAGAAAGAGAGGGAGAGAGGGAGAGAGAGGGAGAGAGGGAGAGAGAGAGAGACAGAGGGACAGAGAGAGAGAAGAGGGAGAGAGAGGGAGGGAGCGAGAGAGAAAAAACGCGCCAACGAAAAGGCGGTTGAAGAAACGGACGTTAGGCATGTGTCGGTAGAACAGAGGCACATGTACGAGCAGCCAACCCATGTGTAACACACACACACAAGAGAGACGGCGGGCTAGTTCAGAACAAAACGTACCAGGGCAACCAAGCACACATCCCATACACGGGAACACATCCCATACAGACGCTCCACACACCAAAGCCACGCAACAACACAGCGGACGCACATGTTCAAACAACCTGCAGCACCGCCGAAACAAAACACGCGGCCGGGATCATACAAATCACCCCGCATCTACCCCATCTACTACAAACTCTGCTGTTGGATGGCACGGGTAAGGTCGTCAATCATACAGGGACCAAATATTTACCGGAGGAGGAGGAGGCAGCGGCGGAGCCCCTCCCATTCCCATCCCCCCGTTCCCGCCGGCCGCGGGCGCCGAGCCCTCGATCTTCCCGGGAGCCACGGAGAACAGGGTGTGCACCTTGAACTTGCTGGGGTTGTTGGAGGCCAGGAGCCGTTCCGCCTGAGTCGGACCAGACAGCGGCACACACACACATGGGGGGGGGGGG